AATTATACCAAATTTAAGATGAGTTAATTGTATTTACCCCTTTAGGGTGTGTTTGGCCTAGGAAATGTTGTATTATTGAGAATATTATATTAATGAAAAGATAGATTATCTTGAAGATTACTGAGAATATTTAGAGAAATGTGTTTGGTTGGTTGAATAAATTGGTAGATATGTTATAAAATTACTAAATTGCCCTCATTTTTAAATATTATATAATTATTTTTTATTATATTTTTGAATAATCTCTTTTAACCCCCTACATTTCAAATTTAGATAAAACACCTCAGTCAAACGAGTTTAAAACTTGACAAAACCCTCCATCCACTCCAAGCCATTGCTAGCGGCCTGCCACTACCGCACAGTGGTGACAGTGTTTTTGGCCCTGAAAGACTAGATATTTGGAATGAAACGACGGTCGTTTCACAACCAAATATCTGGATTTTCACAGCCAGATCTGGCTGTTTCCGGCCACGAATTTGTGATCTATGGCCAGAAACAACCTTAGTGATGCACAATCGACCAATAAGGCCAACCATGAGCCATTCCGTCGCTGTCACGGTGGTTTTCGCAACTAGCATGTTGGCCAGATTCTTAAATTCAAGGTTATTTATGTCCTAAAAACTTTGTATATAAGGATAAAATAGTCAATTGATATTTTTAAATTGTTTTTAAATCAAAGGTATTATTGTCCTAAAATTTTATTACTAAGGGAAAATTATAACAAATAAGATTACCAGTAATCTTAAAATACCTAAGAAAATGGAGGTAATCAGATTACCTCCTATATTACCAATAGTAACTATTATTATATTGGAAGATTACCGAAATCTTATATTACTTGAAACCAAATGTGATAATAAAGTAATATAAGATGATATTACCTTAGTAATCCAACATTACCTCCAACCAAACGCACCCTTAGGATTTAGCTCTATTGGTCTAAACCTTGGGGTGTAAAATACAAGGATATACTTCTTGAAATTTAAGAAATGGTAGCAATTTTTATATTTTATATTATGCCATTCTTCAATCTATACTTATACAATATAAAAAAGAAGAGTATTTTGACTTTTAAACAGAAGAACCATCTCGCTTACTAAAAAATGGAACTAGATGATCAATCTTCTATTAAAAATAACAAAATGGAATCAACCAATTTAATCAGACGATTGTGAAGTCATTGTCATCAACCTCCTGTGTGCTTTGCGAAATTGAAAAGTTATGGTAACTCCTAAAAAGAGTTTAAATTTGAACATTCATTTTTATGAAGTGAATTTGGCAACCACGTAAATAGAAGGGAATAATTAAAGCTCAATTCATGTAAATGTTTTTATATATAAGGGACATTTGTATCATAATTTTATTATAGGAAGATATTATATTAATGAAAAGGTAGATCATCTAAAGATTACTGGGAATGTTTAGAAAATGTGTTTGGTTAGTTCGAATAATTGTGTGAATAATTGTTGGTTGGGAGGATAATGAGTGGGTTGTTATATAGATTACTAAATTGTCTTTCTTTTTAAGTATTAATATAATAGTAATTATTATTATTTTTATCATTTCTTTTGACCCCCTATATTTGAAATTTTGCTAAAAACACCTTAGTCATATAAACTTTAATTTGAAGCAAAATCACCCACCCCAAGCCATTGCCGATAGCTAGCCACCATCACTGGCAGTTGACAAAATAGTGCCGATTGGTCGTATATGGCCGACCATGAGCCGACAAAGCCATTTCCCGCCATGGATCACAAATCCATGGCCATTTAACAGCTAGATCTATGGCCATTTCATAGGCAGATCTGGCCTTGCCGTTTCATGACCACATTTGTGGCCGCTTCACAATCACATCTTTTGCCTGAAACCATAGACACACTAGACCTGGCTTTTTTCGGCCATAGATTTGTGATCCATGGTCGAAAAGTCCTTACCAGCGCACGACCGCGCCAGATCCTGCCAGTCATACACCATTACAACGAAACAATTTTTTTGGGGGAGGTGTGTTGGATTAATCCCAACATTATTAATAGTAAACACAGCCTTTTCCACAGCTATGGATCATAGATCCATCGTCAGAAATGGCCAGATCAGGCGTTTCTATGGCTGTTTCATGGCCAAAGATGTGATTGTGAAACGACCACAGATCTGCCGTGAAATGGCCATGATTTTGCCATTTCCGTGGCTACTTCTAGCTTTGTAGGCACATGGCTGACCATATATGGCCAATCGTGCCCCATTTCGTCAACTACCGCGGCGATCGGCGGTGGTGGCTGGCTACCGGCAGTGGCTTGGGGTGGGTGGGGGTGATTTTGCTACAAATTAAAGTTTTATATGGCTAGGGTGTTTTACCAAAATTTCAAATTTATGGGGTTAAAAGAAATGATTCAAAATAATAGTAAAAATAAAAATACTATTATATTAATATTTAAAAGAGGGCAATTTGTATCTATTAATCATAACCACCCATTTATCCTCCGAACTAAACATATTATTCACCAATTTATTCGAACCAACCAAACACATTTTCTAAACATTCACAATAATCTTCAAGGTGATTTTTCTTTTCGTAATTTAATATACCCTTATAATAAATATTATATTATCCAAACGCCTCCTATTTGCAATAAAAATTCCCGTTATATTATTACTTGCAAACTAAACACCAAAATCTTACAAAGTAAATGAATTATCCCCGTTATCTTATATGCCCCCATCCAAACACAGCCATACGAGTACCTTTTGACCATAATGTTGCGAGCTTAAATTTTGTGTTTAAATGCATGAATTCTGGATTTCCCATGGGTGCGGAGTCACATTCTGACCCGTTTGATTGACTCTTGCGTAAAACCATTCTTTTAGCAACTTAAGAAAAATGATTTGTACCCCGTATGTTATCATAGATCCTATTAAGTGTTCCTTATTTTATTAAAAATATCTTTCTAACTCCATATGATATATAATACTATTATATTTTTTAGACTTAATTATATTTTTTTCTTTACACCCCTTTTTCAAGTTTGTCTACAATTTATTCTATGCATTTAATGTCCTTTCCTTTTAGTTTCCTAAACTCAAAATTATGTCTTCTTAATTACTAAATAGAAATTGCATATTAGAAACTCCACCGTCATGGAGATTTCCATAAATCGGAAGTATTACGTTGCTTATTTTTTGTTGATTAGTTTATAACTTCAAGCTTAAGAGAACTTGGAGTTCTATTGTAACAAAAAATATAAATATAATAATTGAAGGTGGAGGAGAGTGAAAACTATATTGGAGTTAACAAAAAAAATTTAACTCAGAGAAAAATTAAAAGTGAAATTTCTTTTATCTCTTTCTAAAGCAATTTAAAAATACACATGAGTTTTTGTGAATATTTTCTAGAATTAATTAAAAGAAATAAAGATCAAGAACGAAATTGAAGAAAGAAGAAATTATAGAATTTTTCACTAACAACTGGAGTAACTAACTGGAAAAAATATGCGCAGACTCTTTATAAAGTCGTTGATACAAAACGCTAGGTTTCTTTCAAACTTTGACTTCTGATATTTTATCCCACACAAATGATAATGTAATCTAGACTACTCTCCAAAATTACTTTTAACCCAAACTGCTCTTAAGCTTATATCTTGATAGCCCCTCTCAAGCTAAGTTGTCTTACAGTTGTAGCTTGTTGACTTCTGTAGTATAGGAACGGGCGTTCCTGCTCCTTGGGAACGAGTGTCCTTGTTGGTCTCAGCCGCTCACCGTCTGGTTCAACGGCGAGTAAATTTACCGGACTAGCTTCTCCCATTAAGCCGACCTCTGTTTCTCGCTTGTCATCTCTTCACAAGCGCACCTACTCCAGGTTACTTTGATTAGTATCTTATGGTTTTTTTTTTTAAATTTATTTTATTACCATTTTGTTAAATTTTAATGTTCAGTTGTGTTAAAGTAGCTCTTTAAGCTTGACTAGGATTGTTGTATGGGTTTTTTATTCAGGCTTCCAGTGGAGCTGGGTGGGGCTCTGTCTTTGATGCCATTACATATGTTTACTGCCTCTGCCTTGTTCACTTCGTTACTGTCTTTGAACAATCAAACTGGGTTTGTCTCTCTGAAGGTACTCTTTCTTTTTCTTAATTTTTTGGCATTATGTTGGTATGTTTTCATCTTAAATGTCTACTCTATGCACTTTGTAACTCTCCCTTTGCCAATTTAACAACGGTCTAGAACCAAATAGGATGATTATGAAAGTGCGAAGGACTATTTGATTTTGCAGAACAATTTACATTAGCGACTAAATTATTTAGTTGTCAATTTTGCTCGAAATTTCCAAGTAAAGCGGAATAATTGACATCTAATATGTGATTTCACATCTAATTTTTTGTTATAAAAAATAATATTGGCAACTACAATATAATAGCTAAACTAGTTATAATAAAAAAATTACCAAAATATCCAAGTTTTTTACATAATTACAAGGGGGTAGGGTGTTTTTAGCATAAATTATTTTGTGCATATTAAAATAGTTACAAAAAACGCATCTATGGCAACTAAATTGGATTTTGTTGCCAAAATTAATTGAAATTTCATATTCCCACCCAACTTTCGTATTCCCGCCAAAGGAAATCATAACAACTAAAAGATTATTTTGCAATTAAAAATTAGTTCTAAATTAACTTGCTTGGCAACTAAAATTTTAGCTGATAATATAGTTTACAAATAAAATATATTAATGGTAACTAGAACATTAGTTAAAAAATAATGACTAAAGAAATGACCAATTTTTTAAGTTAATTACTAAAAACCCTTTTGCTATATAAACCCAGCCTAATTCCCAGGCCCCGATTCCCCCAATTTCCCCTTTGATATTGCGCGCATCTTCTCTTCACCACGCACCATTCCTGACCATTTCCCCTTTGAAGCTGCCTTGCCTTTTCATTTTCCACTTTCCTTTGCGTTCTTAGTCTTGTCGTTTTCGCTTGTTGCCGTTGGTGTGTGAGATGGAGAGGAGAAGCGCAGTCCGTCGAAGTGGGAGTCGACCAAAAGGCACCGAAGCGACCAGGATGAAAGAGAGAGGATTCGGAGCAGGAGCTTAGGAAAGAGAAAAGGAGAGGGAGTTAAGGTATCGAGATAGAGAAAACAGGTGTTATTATTTTTGCTGTCTAATTTGGTCTTCTTATGTATGTATTGAATTATACGTCTCTATGTTATGGAGTCTGCAGATTGATGTTGGATCAAACTTATTTATAATGAATACATTTCATGTTAGATTGCAAAAAGAAAATAATTGATTGCATTTGCTGCGTGAAGTAGCAGATGTTATTAGCTGAGTAGTTATAAAGAACTGATAATTAACTTATGACTTCTATTTAGAAATTGGTGTGGTATATGTTTGTTCTGTTTAAAAATGGATTGATCATTCTGTTGTGTAGATTTTTTAGTCTAATATTTAAAGTAGCTTAGCAAAGGTGTTATGTGTTGATTTGGCAAAACTTTGTTTTATATTACATTTTTGTGGATGTTTTTAGTCTAATATTTAAAGTAGCTATTTAAAGGTGTTATGTGTTTGGTTTGGCAAAACATCATTTATGTTACTTGGTTTTTCAACGAGAAACTGTGTGAATATAATATTTCTTAAAGCAAAGTTTTGATAATATTTTTTTTTCCCAATAAAATAGTACCGTACAGTTAACAGAACTAACTAAGCACAACATTTTATGTATTTTGAGGGAGGTGGTCATGTGACTCATGCCTTTTTGGGGAATGGCTCTCTAGAGTGTTAAACAACTGTATTAGAACTCTTTTGTAGTGGTGCTATCATCTTGACCCCTTTGCAATGTGCTAGCTCCTATAATACTATATTCACCCAAAATCCCTTGATCTTTTCTATGTGTTCACTGAGTCAAAGAATGAGGGTCCTTCTAGAGTATACAAGGTTGTGTAGCTATGAGCTGTGTGATATAATATCCCAAGTAGATAGCTCCAAGGAAATTTGAATCGTTGAACTTTTGGTTGTACCCAAGGGCCTTCCACACCGAACCTCTGGCGTTCAATACATTACCCAATTCAAAACTAGTGCTTACTAGTTGCTTTGTCATAGTTTATTGTTGTATTTGGAAGTTGGTTGAGAGATACACACACGTATATATATATTAGCGAAGTTTATGGTGTTTTAGTTATTTCTTTTTAAAATTTTTCTGCTATAGTGCTATTATTAGTGCTCACCTTGTTAATCTCCTTACATGGTGCAACTTTGTTGGGATTTCTACTTCCATTGCTTATTCCAAAATGTTTAGAACTTATTTTCCCTTGGTCTGCCTTTGATTCTATCCCAGCTCTATAGGACAAACAGTCAATATGAAGATAATCCAACTTTTCTGCTTGTCAAATTTTCTTCAAGTACAATTCTCGCTTGATGAGTTCTATACTGCTATAAGCATTCTCAGAAATAGTTCTAAGTACAGCTGCTCATCAAATTTGATGGGTTATTTTTCTAATTAATTAAACCCACAAAAGTAACAATTCATGTCCACCTTACTTAAAAGAGAGTCTATTATGCCTTAGTACACCCTCTAACGCATATATGTGTTTCAGTTTCTTGTTTATCTTGATGCTGGAGCATGTGATAGTTTCTACTCAGGAAATTATTTTATGCGGATAGTTATTCTCTCTAGCAGATGACATTTTTAATATTCTTCGAAAAGTTTTGATTTTAGCATACATCTTGCATAAGAGTTCAGATTTAAAAGAAATTAGGATGTTGGGAGAAGAAATTGATATATTCATATGATTTTGTAGTGTTGTTTGAAAGATTTTGTCTTTAGCAAAGTCTTTCCCTTAGGAGTTTGCTTTTTAGAAAATCGGTTGAGAGACTTGTTTGGGCCTGCAAAAATTCAACTTCATAGTATTTTATGCTTAAAGTTCTTCTTCGGTGCAGATGTTCTGTAAAAAATTTGGTTTGGTAAAAAGTGATAAAAGGTTCTGTTTGCATTACAATCTTGTGGAACTCCCCCAGTATATTCTTGAATCTATTTAGGAAAAATTAGATAGTGGATTGACTTGGATTCAGAAGATAAGACCCTTCGGACGGATTCTGAAATTACTTTAAAGCAAGAAATAGCATAGGCTACGCATTTGTCCTTATAGGTTTGTCTTGAAATGATTTCCCTACAATGTTTATATTAGTTCAACAAAATATTAAGCATTGATGTAAATTTCTTTTTGTTTTGCTTGCGATGTTAGCTTCGTCATATGATGCACTACAAAATCCAAATTATTTTCCCCAGGGAGAAATTGTGAGGAAAACTAAATGAAGTAGCCACATAGTGCTTTTCTTTTAGTAATTTTTTTTTAGTTATCTGAATTCTGGATCGCTATGCTATGTTAGTGTTTGAGTAGTGAAAGATCATACAGTCTCTGCAGATGATTATATGCATGAATAAGTGCAAGAATTCAACTCACAAATGATTGATAGTTATGATCAATGTTTTCTTGAAGCTACTTTGGAATATAAGATCCCTGCACACTCCTCTGTCTTGTATCATGCTTCTTTTCCTATTTGACTTATTCATAATTTATTTTTTGCATTTATTCATGTTTTTGCTTGGCCCAGTAGCTAATGCAACAACCTGAAGTTATGAATTTGAATCCACTGTTTAGATTTTTGTGTTTTGGGACCAAATCTTTTGATGATGAAGGGTTTTTTTTATTATGCGAAAAGAATGAAAAAAAGAAAAGAAAAGATTGGATATATATTGTTCCCAAATACTTCCCAATGGTTTGAATTGTCTAGCTAATTTGGCTTTGCTTTTGTCAATTTTTATTTTTTTTAATCAGGTGTACAACCATAAATTTCAAAATATTTTGGAGTTGTTTTGTAGTATGGTTTGGTTGTAATGTTTTCTGTTTCTTTATGCTTTAGAGTTTGCCTATTTCTATTCTTATTGATATTATTTAAGTTTAGGCTGCAATATTAATGATGTTAAGGAATGTCTTAGCTTATATTTATGAAAATTTTGATATTTCCTTTAGGGGTTTGAATTTGTTTGCTTAGTTAGTGTATCGTGTACCTGATAGACATGTGAATCCTTGACTTCTGGTCCTTCTCATTGTGATCGACATAATGAGGGGAGGTGGTATTGGAGTCATTCTAGATTGCCCTTGAAGTTAGTTGGGTTCTTTATTAAAGGTTGGTTTAAAATGTCTGTAGTGTTATATATAAGTCTCATGGTGTGCAGGCTATAAGGGAGGGTGCTGACGCTGTAATTGCAGTTGGAGGAGATGGAACTCTTCATGAGGTGCAGTTTGTTTCTCTTTCAAATGTATGTTAATTTCACTATTTTATGCATTAGAGTGTATATTTTCTTTTTTCTGCAACTCAAAGAGATCACTGATTATTTTGTAGTGGTAACTAATGAACTTTCTATCTGAGCTTAGATAGATCAAAGAAGAGATATGTTTTAACAGTTATTCAAATAAATGGCCTATATTTTGTTATCATAGGCCCTAGTTAAACCAAGTTTGAACTGAAATATGTTTATGTAAGCTTTGGACTAAGAAAAGTATTTGAAAAAGCATTAAATGGTGTTAGGACTTCCACATTTCTTTTTACTAATGTTTGTATGTCTAGTAGATAGAATGTAACTTGCATCTTGCTTTATGATCGGCAGGTTGTTAATGGATTCTTTTGGGCCTCAAAAACTGTAAGCAGTCACAATAGGAGTGATGGAGACCAGGTGTTCTTGTATGCAAAATTTTAATTGATTTGGAGTTGAAAGTTATGTTTCACTATGCATGGTGTTGTAGATTTGGGTGCCTAAGCATATTGTAAAGGTTAGACCGTTAGAAGATCTTAAACTAAATGTGATGCGAGAGAAGCATTATAAATTTGCTTTAGTAGGAGTGATAAACCAGCAGAAGAACACGATAAACAAGACAGATTATAGAGAAATAGCGGGGGTTAGCATGGGTAACTTGCAGGTAGAACCGAAACTAGAATCGGAACCTACCCAGAACTGATACTATGCGGATGGGTTTTGGTTCCATTTTTTTGAAACCAACACTGTGTGGTTCTGATTTGGTTCCTACATGTGGAGGAACCGGAATCGGAACTGGAACCGGAACTTGGAAAAAAGAATCTGTAGCGAGTATCCGGCTTGGAACTTACAGTTGGTACCTTGTTTTGGAATCTGTTTTGGGACTTGGGCTGAAATGAAATATTTGTGAAAAATAGGGGGTCTATATGTTTTACATATAAAAAAATTTAAGATGGAAAAAGTTAAATTTTTATCATATCCTAATTAAATAAATATACAATTATACTTATTACATATAAATTATACCATATAAAAAACTTTAATATATTATAATATATTAATATTAAAGTTTTGATTGATTAAATATATAGTTGGAATTATGACCAATTAAAAGTGTTTTAATGTTATTAAAAAAATTATTTTTGAATAAAATAATATATTTGATTAAATAATAATTTTTATTTAATTATTTTTATTAATTATCAAGTTTTAAGTATATCTGTAGTAAATTAGTAATTAATTAATTATATATGATAAATTGATAAATATTAATAATTTATTAGTTAAATGATTACTTAATCAATTATAATATTATATTATAATTAAATGATTATTTAATTAATTATAAGTTTATAATATTATATTAGTAATTTAGTACATTATTTAATTAAATAATTAGAAATTTAATTAATTATAATATTATATTATAGATTCATAATATAATTATTTAATTAATTATAACATTACATTATAAACAAATGATTATTTAATTAAACGATTATTTAATTAATTATAAAATTTTATTTTAAACATTAATATAATACTAAATTAAATGATTAGAAATTTAATTAATTATAATATTATATTAAAGATTTATAATATGATTATTTAATTTATTATAACATTACATTATAGTATGATCACATAATTAAATAATTATTTAATTAATTATGACATTATATTATAAATATTAGTAATTTACTACATTAGCATATTATTTAATTAATTATAATATTATATTATAAATTTTTGATATAATTATTTAATTAATTATAATATTATGTTATAAATAAATGATTATTTAATTAAATGATTATTTAATTAATTATAACATTCTATTATAAAGATTAGTACAATACTTAATTGAATGATTAGAAATTTAATTAATTATAATATTACATTAAATATTTATAGTATGATTACTTAATTTATTATAACATTATATTATAGTGTGATCACATAATTAATTATAACATTACATAATTAAAAGATTACTTAATTAATTATGACATTATATTATAAATGTTAGTAACTTACTACATTAGCATAATACTTAATTAAATGATTAGAAATTTAATTAATTATAACATTACATTATAAATTAATAGTATGATTACTTAATTAATTATAATATTATGTTATAAATAAATGATTACTTAATTAAATGATTATTTTATTAAGTATAACATTCTATTATAAACATTAGTATAACACTTAGTTAAATGATTAGAAATTTCATTAATTAAAACATTACATTATAATTAAATAATTACTTAATTAATTATAACATTACATTAAATTATAATCACTTAATTAATTATAACATTACATTAAATTATAATCACTTAATTAATTATAACATTACATACTTAAATGATTACTTAATTAATTNTCCCACCCAACTTTCGTATTCCCGCCAAAGGAAAATCATAAACAACTAAAATGATTATTTTGCAATTAAAAAATTAGTTCTAAATTAACTTGCTTGGCAACTAAAATTTTAGCTGATAAATATAGTTTACAAAATATGAAATATATTAATGGTAACTAGAACATTAGTTAAAAAAATAATGAACTAAAGAAATGACCAATTTTTTTAAGTTAATTACTAAAAACCCTTTTGCTATATAAACCCAGCCTAATTCCCAGGCCCCGATTCCCCCAATTTCCCCTTTGATATTGCGCGCATCTTCTCTTCACCACGCACCATTCCTGACCATTTCCCCTTTGAAGCTGCCTTGCCTTTTCATTTTCCACTTTCCTTTGCGTTCTTAGTCTTGTCGTTTTCGCTTGTTGCCGTTGGTGTGGAGATGGAGAAGGAGAGAGAGCAGTCCGTCGAAGTGGGAGTCGACCAGAAAGGCACCGAAGCGACCAGGATGAAAGAGAGAGGATTCGGGAGCAGGAGCTTAGGGAAAGAGAAAAGGAGAGGGAGTTAAGGTATCGAGATAGAGAAAACAGGTGTTATTATTTTTGCTGTCTAATTTGGTCTTCTTATGTATGTATTGAATTATACTTCTCTATGTTATGGAGTCTGCAGATTGATGTTGGATCAAACTTATTTATAATGAATACATTTCATGTTAGATTGCAAAAAGAAAATGATTGATTGCATTTGCTGCGTGAAGTAGCAGATGTTATTAGCTGAGTAGTTATAAAAGAACTGATAATTAACTTATGACTTCTATTTTAGAAATTGGTGTGGTATATGTTTGTTCTGTTTAAAAATGGATTGATCATTCTGTTGTGTAGATGTTTTTAGTCTAATATTTAAAGTAGCTTAGCAAAGGTGTTATGTGTTAGATTTGGCAAAACTTTGTTTTATATTACATAGTTTGTGGATGTTTTTAGTCTAATATTTAAAGTAGCTATTTAAAGGTGTTATGTGTTTGGTTTGGCAAAACATCATTTATGTTACTTGGTTTTTCAACGAGAAACTGTGTGAATATAATAATTTCTTAAAGCAAAGTTTTGATATACATTTTTTTTCCCAATAAAAATAGTACCGTACAGTTTAACAGAACTTAACTAAGCACAACATTGAACATTTTATGTATTTTGAGGGGAGGTGGTCATGTGACTCATGTCTTTTTGGGGAATGGCTCTCTAGAGTGTTAAAACAACTGTATTAGAACCCTTTTGTAGTGGTGCTATCATCTTGACACCTTTGCAATGTGCTAGCTCCTATAATACATATATTCACCCAAAAATCCCTTGATCTTTTCTATGTGTTCACTGAGTCAAAGAATGAGGGTCCTTCTAGAGTATACAAGGTTGGTAGCTATGAGAGCTGTGTGATATAATATCCCAAGTAGATAGCTCCAAGGAAATTTGAATCGTTGAACTTTTGGTTGTACCCAAGGGCCTTTTCCACACCGAACCTCTGGCGTTCAATACATTACCCAATTCAAAACTAGTGCTTACTAGTTGCTTTGTCATAGTTTATTGTTGTATTTGGAAGTTGGTTGAGAGATACACACACGTATATATATATTAGCGAAGTTTATGGTGTTTTAGTTATTTCTTTTAAAAATTTTTCTGCTATAGTGCTAATTATTAGTGCTCACCTTGTTAATCTTCCTTACATGGGTGCAACTTTGTTGGGATTTCTAATTCCATTGCTTATTCCAAAATGTCTAGAACTTATTTTCCCTTGGTCTGCCTTTGATTCTATCCCAGCTCTATAGGACATAACAGTCAATATGAAGATAATCCAACTTTTCTGCTTGTCAAATTTTCTTCTAAGTACAATTCTCGCTTGATGAGTTCTATACTGCTATAAGCATTCTCAGAAATAGTTCTAAGTACAAGCTGCTCATCAAATTTGATGGGTTATTTTTCTAATTAATTAAACCCACAAAAGTAACAATTCATGTCCACCTTACTTAAAAGAGAGTCTATTATGCCTTAGTACACCCTCTAACGACATATATGTGTTTCAGTTTCTTGTTTATCTTGATGCTGGAGCATGTGATAGTTTCTACTCAGGAGAATTATTTTATGCGGATAGTTATTCTCTCTAGCCGATGACATTTTTACTATTCTCGAAAAGGTTTTGATATTAAGCATACATCTTGCTAAAGATCAATGTTAAAAGAAATTAGATGTTGGGAGAAGAAATGATATATTTCATATGATATTTGTAGTGTTTGTTTGAAAGATTTTGGTCTTTTAGCAAGTCTTTCCCTTGGTTTGCTTTTAGAAAATCGTTTGTAGAACTTGTTTGGGCCTGCACAACTTCAACTTCATAGTATGATTATGCTTAAAGTTCTCTTCTTCGGCATAGTTCTGTAAAAAAATTGGTTTGGTAAAAGTGATAAAAGGTTCTGTTTTGCATTACAATCTGTGGACTCCCCCCGTATTTCTGAGCTATTTAGAAAAATTAGATGTGATTGACTTTGTTCAGAAGATAGAGACCCTTATCGGGACGATCGAAAATTACGTTACAGCAAGAAATGCATAGCGAAACGCATATGTCCTTATAGGTTTGCTTGAAATGATTTCCCTACCTGTTTATAGTAGTTCAAACAAATCCTTAAGTCATTGATGTAAATTTCTTTTTAGTTTTGCTTGCGAGTTATGGGGCGGGTGTCGTCAGATGATGCCTACAAACAAATTATTTTCACAAACAGAGAATTGTGAGAAAACATGAAGTCACATAGAGTGCTTTTCCTTTTAGTAATTTTTTGTTAGTTACTGAAGTCTGATCGCTTGCTATGTTAGTGTTTTGAGTAGGAAAGATCTACGTCTTTCGCGATGATTTATGCATGCATACGTGCAGAATTCACCTCCAAACAATGATTATATAGTTAGGAACAATGTTTCTTGAAGCTACTTTGGAATAATTAAGAATCCCTGCAGCACATCCTCTGTCTTGTATCACATGCATCTTTTTCCTATGACTTATTCTAACTAGTATTTTTTGCATTTATTCATGGTTTGCTTGGCCCAGTACTATCAACAACCTGAAGTTATGACTTTGATCCACTGTTTAGATGTTTTGTGTTTTGGGAACCAAATCTTTTGATGATGAAGGGTTTTTTATTATGCGAAAGAATAAAAAGAAAGAAAAATTGGAATATATCGGGTTCCACAATACTTCCCAGGTTTTGAATTGTCCTAGCTAATTTGGCTTTGCTTTTGTCAATTTGTTATTTTTTTATCAGTGTACAACCTAAATTTCAAATAGTTTGGAGTTTTTGTAGTATGTTTTGTTGGAAAGGTTTTCTCTGTTCTTATGCTTTAAAGTTTTGCTCATTTCTATTTCTTGATATTATTTACGTTTAGCGCTGCAATATTACTGATGTTAAGGCATGTCTTAGGCTTATATTTATGAA